GAGGGCAGTGTCACTGGCCCTCATATGTGGGATCCGAACCAGGGCCCTCAGGTGTCCCAAGCCAGTTCTTAACCATCATGCCACTCAGCTGGCCCTCTTCTAATTTTTTGAGATTGCTTTTTAAAATATTGATTTATTTTCTAATTATTTAAAATAATTGTAAGTTTCCAAAATAAATCTTCAAAGGGAGGTATGTTATAAGATGTTAGCTTTTAACCCTGTAATATCTATTCTAGGGGTCACCATTGTTATTATTTTTTATTCTTACATTTACCTTTTTTTTAAATTAAATTGTTAGGGTGACCATGGTTAGTAAAATTACATAGATTTCAAGTGTACAATTCTGTAATTCATCATCTATATATCATATTGTGTGCTCATCACCCAGAGTCAGTTCTCCTTCCATCACCATATATTTGACCCCCTTTCCCCTCTTCTACTATCCCCCTCCTCCTTTACCCCCTTACATTAAACTATTGTTTATGTCTATGATTTTTCATTTCTTTATTTCTTTGTTTAATTCCTTTGTTGATTTCAGGTTTCTGTCCCACATATGGGTAGTCATATGGTTCTCGACTTTTTCTGACTTATTTTTTTCTGGCATGATAATCTCAGACTCTATCCATGTTGTCAAAAATGGCAGTATTTCATCTTTTCTTATTACCTTTATATTTCTTTATACATTTTTCTCCAAATATTTTTTTACTTAAAAATATATCCTGAAATAACACCACTGTAGTATTTATAGATAGTTACAACTTCTTTTTATGCATCATAATTCTCTGGTGGATGTAGCCTAGTTTTTCAACCAGTCCCGTACTGATGGACTTTTAAATTGTTTCCAGTCATTACAAACAATTCCCAGTGAGTAGCATTATAAATACGTCACTTTGTGCAGTGTATTTTGGGGGAAAATTCCAAAAAACCAAGTATAAATAAATATACAATTTGCCTTAAGTTGTTGCATTTTCATTCATAACAGTTGTACCATTTTCATTCCCACCAACAATGCATTAATGTTTTTCTGCACCACAGCCTAGTCAACAGAGAGCCTGGTATCAGCTTTGGGGATTTTTTTGCCCATCATATAGTAAGGGATGGTATCTCAGTGTATTTAATTTGTATTACCCTTTTTATGAGTGAGTTTTAACACATGTGTAAAAAAACATACTTTAAAAATTTTAGAAAACTTAAAATGAAAACAATTTTGTTAGAGAAAACAATTTATGATATTACATTATAGGTAAATTTTGGACATTCTACACAAGATTACTTTAGACTAAATTGGATTGTTAAAACAATGTTATATAGGGGAAAATGATAGACATAATTCTAAAAAGAAACTTCAGAAGTTAAATGTTTCAATTTTATTCATATGCCACAGAAACCATACAAAATAAATAATCCTTACATTGGTAAGCAATAACTTACTGTAGTTGAAAAGTTCATGATATAAACAAACCCTTATGAAGTACTAAGACTTTATAAAGTGCTAAATCTTGAAGATAAAGCAAAGTCTATAAATGATCTTGTAATTGCAGAGGCTTTTTCTATAGATTTATATTTGATAAAATATAGGAGCCAGGTGTATCATACTTCATGACAAAACCAAAGCCAGCTTAAAGAAAAATGTCCTCTTCTAACAAAGCCATAGATGATGAGCTCTGGCCCTTCTTTTTTGGACTACATAAATTTTTCCTGTGTTCCTTAATAATATTTCTAAACGTAGTTTAATACATTATTTGAATTAAGTAGAGTAGATCCTAAGACTACCTTGTTAATCTGACATCTCTACTTGATGTCCTACTCAACAAGAATTATGTTTTTTTGGAAAACAAAATATTAAAGAAAGGATTATGGAATATGATTCCCGCCAATTAATTCTTAGTTATTTTCTTTCCTTTCAGCACCTTCCCTGATAGGTATGGTAAGGAAGGACTGGGCATCCCAAAATAGCATTGCCCTATCATGGCAAGCACCTGCTTTTTCCAATGGAGCCATACTGGACTACGAGATCAAGTACTATGAGAAAGTAGGTCTTATTTGGAGCTTCCTAAAAAGTTACATATACATATATATGCATATATGTATATACTAAGCATGATGTTATACTATATTATTTTACTTTAAAACCTGTTCTTTGGCCTAACCACATATATACTATGCCTTTGAATACTCTAATTTACTGTTGTGCTTATAGTTTCTTAATTAATTTGTCTTGTTTTATGTCAGATTAAAGTAGAAGACAAAAGATGTTCATCTCTGTCATGACTTACTCTAGGGAGTTTTACAATATAGTAAGAAGTAGTAACTCCTGCAACTTACAGTTTGGTTGACTAAATATTATTTATTAATTCACTTGGAAAGAAATGGTCAAATAGAATTACTATAACCTAAAGCAAGTTTGTGTAGGTCATGTCCTTTTACCAATGAGTTTAAAGTTATAGTCCACTATAATTTGGAAAGGATGATTTAAGGGATAAATGGAAGTAGCTGATGACTTAAAGTTTTTCTTTACATTTGAGACAGCTGTTTTATTTTATAAGAAGTTAACAAGATAAATCTGGTTAATAAATCAATTATTAACCTTAATATCTATTTTTGTCATTTAACATTGTTCTCAGTTACTATGTTTTCCTGAACTATATATTTATTTACCTCTATTGTTTTCGCACTCTTTCTTTACACTTCATCCACCTCATTGCTCAATATTATGATAGTGTTGCTATAGATATTACAGCAGACCACAAGTTCAATTCTGATAGTATGTCTCATTGCATTAATACTACTCTGGAATATTGCAAAGGAAACATTAAATTTAAAAAATTAAATGTAACTAATAATTATATATAATATCTAGTGGTATACTACAATCAGAAAGAACTTCTTAAACTTCTTTGACTTACTAGAAGTAAAGAAACATAAATAAATTTAAGCATCCTCTGAAGAAATATAGGGCAAGAAGAGAAATAGAAATCTTTTTCTAGTCTACTGCTTCTGAGAAAATGTAAGTTTGAAAAAGGGAGAGGAAACTCAGTAGCATGGCTGTATCCATTTTAACACTAGTAATTTCAACATTATGTAGTCAATGAAAATTGTCATCATCATTAACTGACATGGATAAATCCATTGTCTAAGAAAGGAGGAATTTACTGAATTTAAATTGGATTACAGATTTTGAACGTTAGGCCCACATGTGTTCAGAAATCTTGTTGGGTTATTCCTTCAAATGTTACAACCTTTAGCATTCTGGCACAAGAATATACACACCGGGGTGCCCCAAAAATGTATACAATTGGACACTTTGGTCAACGTTGCTCAAGCAGTAGTTCGCCGTAATCAGAAGTGTCTGATCACTGATGGTAACCACTTTGAGCACCTCTTGTAATTGCAGAAGTCAAACATGACTTGTATTCATCTTTTGTTATNATTGGGGAATTGGGGGATGGGAACAGCGCTGGGGAATTGGGGGAAGGGGAACAGACAAGTTGCTATCCTTTTGTTCTTCAGTCTAGATGTGGAGGACATTGCTTCACTGGCCCATGTTGACACCATCATTGTACTCTTCCCAGGTGAGGCAGATCAGTCGCCAGCTTCTGGACAGCCGCTCACGGCGGCTGCTGGCTGCTGGCTACACATGGTAGCTTATGGCAACCCACTGCAGCAGGGGCTGCAGCCTATGCTGTTGCCGGCGACTTTGGCAGCCCAGCTCCAGGTTGAGCTGTTGTTCAGCACCTTAGCTGTGGAGGGCAGTGTCACTGGCCCTCATATGTGGGATTCGAACCGGGGCCCTCTGGCATCCCGAGCTAGCTCTTAACCAACACGCCACTCAGCCGGCCCTAGACCCAAATTTTTTGAAAAAGGGTGCGTATTATACATGGGGAAATATGGTATATATATTAACCGAAATGTCCATCCATCAATAGACAATTGTATAAAGAAATTGTGGTACATATATACAATGGAATACTACTCTGCCATAAAAAAGACTGAAACGTTACCATTTGTGACAACATAGATGAACCGAGACGGTATTACGCTAAGTAAAATAAATCAGACTGCAAAAGACAAATAACAAATGATCTTACTTATATGTGTAATCTGAAGAACAAAATACATGAACAAATAAAACAGAAACAGACTCATAGATATAGAGAACAAACTGATTGTAGATGGGAGGGGGTTTGGAGACTGGGTGAGAAAGAGAAGGGATTAAGAAGTATTAATTGGTGGTTACAAAATAGTCATGGGGATATAAAGTACAGTATGGATAATATAGTCAATAATATTGTAAAAACTATGTTTAGTGTAAGATGGCAGTAGACTTTTGGGATTATCACTTTGTGAGGTACATAAATGTCTAATCACCATGTTATTTGTACCCCTGAAGCTAATAAAAATATTTTAAAAAGTTATTAAAAGTAAAACATAAATAAAATAAAATACATCCGATTGGGATACATGTTAAGTTACTGTGTTTTAAAGTGACTTTAACACCTAAAATTAATTCAAAAAATGGGAAAAAATAAAATAAAATAAATAATATTTAGCAGGCAATAAATAAATAAATAAATAAATAAATAAATAAATAAATAAATAAAGTCACATTAAGTAGTTCCCCTTGGAAGCAATTCCTCCAACTTGATATACAGGCTTCTTTCTTTTATTTTTCTTCTAATTTTTTTTTTAAGATTTTTATTGGGGAATTGGGGGATGGGAACAGTGCTGGGGAATTGGGGGAAGAGGAACAGACAAGTTGCTCTCCTTTTGTTCTTCAGTCTGTTTGTGGAGGACGTTGATTCACTGGCCCAAGTTGGCACCATCATTGCACTCTTCCCAGGCGAGGCACATCAGTTGCCGGCTTCTGGATGGCCGTTCACTGCGGCTGCTGGCCACTCACGCTGGCTGTTGGCTACATACGGTAGCCCGTGGCAACCCACTGCCAAAGGGGCTGCAGCCTATGCCATCACAGGTGACTCCCAGCAGCCCAGCTCCAGGTTGAGCTGTTGTTCAGCATCTTAGCTGTAGAGGGCAGTGTCACTGGCCCTCATATGTGGGATCCGAAC